AATGTTGTCGGCTAATAACAAGCACCCCGAAAGTATAATTAGTAATATCCATATGCTTGGATTGGTCCACGTTTCTGGTTGAATGATCTACAGTCTGGAGAGTAGTCGAAAGGAAATGACAATCGACTTTTCACAACAATTGGTTTTGGATTCAACCGTCGCAAGGCTGAGGACTGAATTACCCCTATCTTTCTGTGAGAATTGGAATATTTCGTCGTCTTTCTTATGAGGTCACTGGTCGTCAGGCCATTGATCGGCGGAGCAGTACTTTGAAATAGGTCAAGAGATCCCGCGCCAACAAACTAAAAGTAGGGTTTGTTTTGCAGACCCAACAATGAGTCATTCTGATATTTTCAAGACTTGCACGTATCACAGTGGGAGTGAGAAATGATATCTAGGGAGTAGGCATATCAATGCGTTTGAAATGTACTTCAAAATTGAACGTCAGTGGATGAGTGCTAGCGATGGAGATTAGTGGGCGAGAGCTTGGAAGAGAGATAGCGATCTCCCAAACCGGATTCATCCAGCCTATTACCACTGCACACGCGGTTTGTAAATCAGCAAGCTTGTTGTATATTGCACGCGAAGTACAGCTTCTATAACTATATATCCGTTATTTAGTGAACACCAGCATTTGCTACAACGTATGACTTGACAGAGGAGAGTGCCAAAGTGGTGTATGCATAGGGAACACTGTTGAAGGATTAGACTGTCAGCGAGCTGGCAGAAATTCGAAGCATAGTTTCACATACCTGGTCAGGGTACCAGTGGGAGCAGTGTTAGGGGTAGCACCCTGGTTGTTGCGAACGACAGCAAAGCCTCCGTCTTCAAAGATGGGCTTTCCGACGTTAGAGAAGACGTTGCTGAATGGATGTCAAGTCAGTCATGAGGCGACTGAGCGTCTCGGATGTCGTGTAAACCCACTTTTCGATCAAAAGCTGAGCACCCTGGCGGGTCTGGATTCCGTCGTTGGAGTTCTCGAAGTAAGAGTTGAAAATATGACCTGGTATGGAAAGATAAGCGACAATTTGAGGGCTACATACTCGGTGTGCTTACCAGTTCCGAAGCGGAAAGATGGAAGTCGGCTGTTCAAGTTGGTCCAGTAGTTGTAGGCATAGGTCACAGTGATCACGGTATCCTCAGAAGCCTGGCAGACGTATCGAGTTAATGAGATAAAACTCGTCGCGTATTGTTGAACGACCTACATTCGAGTCGCTGTGTCCGACGAGGGAGCCCTTCCAGTGATCGTGGAACTTGTTGTACTGGAATTTCGGATTGTATCGTTAGGCGAGTAATACATCAGTGTTTCTAAAGACATACCGTAACGCTAACATATCGAACACCATGGGTGATGTCCAAAAGCCCATCGTAGTAGTCCTACCATTGGAATGTACTGAGAATCATATTCCAGAGAAGAAAAGCTGATATGTCACCTTGTCATGATCCCTGTCACTTGAGAGATCATTGCCATCGATCCAAATATTGGATGCACTGGTACCTTGGACGGCAATGGCATCACCAGCGTCGGCCAGAACCTAAGTAATAGTCGGTGAATGTTTAGCGAATCAAACTAATCCTGTCCATGAAGATGCTAACCTTGGAGATCTTCAGGTTCCTAATGATGACGTTCTTCTTATCCACAACACGGAGCCCGACACCAGTGAGGGCTTCAAGAGGCACGATATGGCATCAATGTCTAAGTGGAGGAGCAAAAAATGCGATTACGTACAAGCACCAGTGATCCCAAGAATAGACTTGTTTGATCCAACTTTGACGGCTTCATTACCAGTGATGGAGCCTATTTTCCACTATAAGCTTAATGCTTGAGATGTCATTCAGCAATCACTTACCGGAAACAAAGACAATGCGAGCAGTATCATCAGCTACAGCAGTCTTAAGGGCCGCAAGGCTAGAAACTGTGGTGGTGCTTCCTCCAACACCTCCCTTGGTACCTACAAAGACACGTGAGGCTTGGGCTCAGAAATTTGAGCTAGTTTTGTCTCTTACCTCCGTTGAGCGTGGCGTAGCCGAGGGTTGCAGTTTGAGTCGCAACAGGGGTAGCCTATTTCGAGGAGAATAGGCTTCAGTTGACGGGTTGTGAATGTCAATGATGGTGATGACTTACAAATGCAACCTCAGCAAAGGTGGCAAGAAGACCGAGAGCGATCTGAGAGAACTTCATATTGGTGAGGCTAGTGTTGGATCTTGAAGATGATTTGATGGAGATTTGGCAACCAGCTTGCTGTCCTTATATACTGCACCTGAGCTCCGCGGCATGCAAAGGAATCGAATGCGTCGGGGAGGGCGGTCCGCGTCAATAATTGACTGATTTATGCCAAGCAATTGAACGCGTTGAGGAGGGCGGCCCGCATCAGCAATCGAATGCTTTATGCCGAACCATTCACGATCCCACAAGTCCGATAATGGAGCACGACGCGAGAGGCATTCCTGGATTCACCCGCTGAGAAGACACCAATTCACAGTTTGTGTGGCAATATTGCATCTTTGTTGCAGTCGCTTGTCTGAAATGGTGCAAGAAGACGGCCCGAAGTGGTCCGCGAGACAATAATTAAACTGAGCGAAGATGAGTTGAATGGGCTGTATTCTGCCGAAGACGGTGCTTTTGGCGTGCGAAGTGGGAAGGTTACTGAGGTTTGACGTCGGCAAGGTCGAAAATCTTCTTGCGTGGCAGCATCTCAAGGCTCTATGCAAGATCATTGGTTATTTTTAGTCGAAGGAATTTAGCAAGCAATTCAGGTGATCGACCGTAGATCATCCGGAAAGGACATTTAACCTTTAGTCGCAACATGTCCTGCAGCAACCCAATATAGCGGGGATGTTTACATGTTAGTAGGTCTGTCGAAGCTGGTGCTGGGAAGTTAGCACAAGTGACGCCATCGCGACCCTATTAGGCGAACTCATTAGAAGTTCCACGTCGATTTGTCTCGCGGTTAGCGGCTCTAACGGGAATCTACATGTTGTATCAACCCACTTTTATCCCCGTGTCTCTCTTGGTATATCGGTAGAACACAACCCTGTCATTGAATCTGATGATCAAGCACGGTTGAGAGCTGGGTTCGACTCCCAGAGGGAGAGTTACTTTTTAGCTCGATTTTACCACATGGAGTACGTAAGCAAATTGAGCGGCAAAATGCTGTGCATCCAGTGCATCAGTCAGCGCTGCACTTGGCCGGCATCAACGTCTCCGTCTCGGCGTCAGCGGGTGGAGC